TTCACTGCATGCAGAGAAAAGGGATTATTCTGGTTTTTGGAATTTGAAACGCTTCTAGATGAAGCCGCTGTACTATTTAGGACTGTTTCTGTCTTATGCTTTTATACAATAGAATCATATTGAAAATGTTAATTTGTGCTTGCACATTTTCCTCACTTAATTCAGGGAGTAGAAAGATTCACCCATGTAATCACACCAGACAGAGATCAATGCAGTTCTGCTGGATTAGTGAAGTGTAAAATAAAAGTTCATCAACATTCCTAAAGTGCTACTCCTGAGTTGTGGCCCAGGTAATATGGGGTATGCTCGATCAGCCACGCATATTTTTCCATCAGTCAGCTGTGTGTTTGCGTGTGTTTGTGTGCCACGCACAACTCGTGTCTGTTGGAGGTGTGGGAATGCGATGTATAGCGTTGCTGAGGTCCTGGGTGACAGTGCATCCAACAATGGAAGAGTGAGGGATTAGTGCTCAGCCCAGCGTACGAGAGAGCCCTTCCCGCCCTGAAACAGCCATTCATCTGTGCCCAGGGGCTGGAGATGACAATGCAGCCATTGCTCATTGCACCTGACGGAGCCATTAATAAGGCAATGATCCACACGGGGCCTGTGCTGACTTCGTTCTTTACACTACAATCACTCAAGCCACAGGGTCCTCCTTACTTAACACCACCACTGAGCTCACAGCCATCATCATCACTACCATCATCACAGTCGCTGTACCAAAAGTCCCACCAGATGTTTTTTTTTTTCTAGAAAATCGATTTTCCAAATATGTACCAGGTTTTGAGCGCGACAATACACTCATGAGCTAATGGTGTGTAGCGTGGCCACTTGGGTGGCTCGAACATGCTTTACCCTGGGATTTCGTCTCAGAAGATTGGATTTACATTATTTTTGCCCTTTGCACCCTCAGATTGCTCTGTAGTGCAGCATTCATTCCTTACAGCCAAGTCATCTGCTGCGCCTCTCCATTTGTCTGGATGTAAGATATGCTCTGTAGTATAGATGGTAGAGGAATACAAAGTAAGATCTGGTTTTAAATGTAATCCTTGAGCAATAAAGAAACTCTCTGGCCTTCGGCACTCCGCATCCATCTGTCCGTGCCGTGTAGATCCATCAGCAACCACAATCTGCTTCCCTTTGCCGGTTATTGATTTAGATGTTTTCCTCCTGCCTACCTCTGCCCCGGTGTTTGTCCTGGCAGCGACAAAGTAGTATCCACTTATAGTCTTAAGGTTTAACCAGCTGCTGTGAATGTCTCCATGCTCTCAATGGAAACACAATAAAGGCGATGCAGAGACATCAGTCTCTGTTGCATTTTGAAAGAAAGTTTAATCCCTTCATTTGCTGTTTGAGTGTCAGTTTGCAGGTTGGACTAATCTATTAAATCTAGCACACATTGCTTACTTTGGAAAGGAAAGACCCCTTAACAGTCCCACATAAGGAAATGTATCCTCTACATTTAACCAAACCTATCTGTGGTTAAGAGTCCTTCTCAGGGAAACAGGATGGGTTAGTCTTAGCTCCAAAGCAATGATTCTGCAGCCTCTTTAGAACATCAACACAATCCTCTCTAACCACTTGGCTGCAACACCCTTTCCTTAAAGATTATCAGTGGTACATCAATCCTAGATTTGTAGCTGATTTCTGCTAAGCATTTCTTTTTTGTAAAGCCTCAAACTGCCAGCACTGATTTCTCTAAAAATCTAACTTTCGGCATAAAGAAAAAAGTCTTTCTAGCCTTTCTGTCATGGCCAGACTTTAACCATTTGTACTAAAAGCACAATGGCTGTCTAACTGTGTGTACAACAGAGACGTCAGTCTAAAATCTAAACAAATAAATTAAAACAAAGCAGTTTAGAGTTGATTTTGTAATCTCCTGCATCTTTAGTCTTTTGCGTCTGACATTGGCAATCAGCACAGTTTGCTTTACTGTAAGCATCAGCCTGCTTATATAATCTTTATTTAATGTAGACCATGAACTCTTAAATTGTTCCTGATTGAACATGTTACTTGATAAATGGGTGAAAAATCTACAGGATAAAATGAGAGCAAATTATTGATTAATTTGTTCCAACTTTATATTATCTATGGAAGGCAGCCTTCAGTCAATTCACCCTATGATGTACAGTATGGGATGAAACGGTTCCGACTGATATGCTGTGGAAGATGGTTCCTCTTTGACCTTAAAAGTTCAGGTTTTGGGTAAACCACTCAACAAACCGAGAAGGAGTGAAATCTCCTGTTGAGGTTTTGGTCTCTGTTGCAGCAGCTTGAATGAAAAACTGACTATTTCCTTTCATCTTCTCACAGAAATACATCACTGTCGCTGAATATGGTAAATGGCATGTACTTAAATAGCACCTTTATTGAAGTTAGGAGACTTGACCAAGGGGCTTTACACTACATTCATTCACCCATTCATTCACACACACACTGATAGTGGCAAGCTACATTGTAGCCACAGCTGACCTGGGGCTCACTGACAGAGGCGGGGCTGCCGTACACTGGCGCCACCGGGCCCTCTGACCACCATCAGTGGACAATGCAGGTGAAGTGTCTTGCCCAAGGAGCTAAGTGAGGAGCTAAGTGCTAAAATAAAAGTTTTTAAATATCAATGGATAATCTAAGATACTGGAGAAATAAACACAATAGTTTCACCTCTTAAAATAATAATTGATTTTTTTTTATTGTCACTAACCTCCCGACTTTACAGCATGTGGGGTTAGGACCTGCAAATGTGACTCAAAGGTGAAACTGACAGTGTTGTTAAGTTATTCATAAAGTCTTATCTAACGTTAAACCTACTGTAAGGGGCAACCTTTAAAGCCCAAAACAACAATCCAGCCATTGGCAACTGAGATGTTAGCCCTTAAAGTATCCAATAATACCAGAAAAAGATGCTAGACATTTTGTTAGTTAATGTTTTCAAAAAGTTGCAAAAACATTGCTAAGTAGGCAACCATGCATGGAGAAAAGCAACTTCCTTTTGATTGTTGTTGATGGGTATGGTGCATTTGATGATATAAACAAATAAAAGGTCCTTTAAAGCTACAGTGTGTAATTTTTAGCGACATCTAACGTCCAGACTGCAGACTGCAGCAACATGAACATCTCCCCCCCACCGCTTCTCCCCCCCAACAGTACGGCGAGTGTTACGGGACAAAATGTCTTCCACGACGTCCGCATCACCTACCTTCTCAAGTGATGAGGTTTGTTTACATAGATAATTTTACAGATAGTATTCTCAGGCATAATACTGCCATCTATTGTTCAGTACCGTCTCAGTTCATCTCTCTCAACTTGCCGTAGTTACTTTCGAGCGTAATGGGCGATCTCGCAATCGCTAGTTTGTTGGCTCTGCGCTGCCGTAGCGCAAAGATGTCTGCCTCCATGGCTGCGAGACCCGCTCCTATGTAATTATAAATAACGAATTCTAAGGCAACGCAAATATTAAGGTTAAGAGGCTGAGCTCGTAGATGATGATAAATAACATAGTTATATATAATATATTACCTTTCGGACTGTATATCCCTGTAATTATTACACACTGTAGCTTTAAGGTCATGACTGGCCAGTCAGAGCTGGTGAGCAGCGGAAAATTGCCTTTCTATGGTGAAGACTTCATTTCTTGGTGCATCTCTGATTGGTCTAGAAACAATCATCTTTTACGGTATTTTGTAGGTTCACTTTCATGTGATAAAATCAAATATTAAGTAAAAATACTGTAAATATCTACTGTAGCATATTATTTTTGTAATTACAAGCCTCAAAGAATGTTGACTTGAGCTCACAGCTCCTCTGTGTTCAGCCTGTTAGAAAAGTATGGGAGGGAAATATAAGAAAGATAAAAACTTTCCCTCTTGGCTGCAGGGTAAGGCCCATGCTTTGAACATACAGATCAGATTGTATTAGAGTTGTATCTAAGTGCCAAACCCTGCATCTATGTAATAACCGAGTCACAAAAGTGTCAAATTGAGAAAAATTGTTTTATGTCAGAACTTTTTTAAATTGCTCTGAACAGGAAAGGCCAACAGGATTGTCGTCTCAGAGGCGGTGACTCACGAAGAGCCTCTGTTTACACTTATGAGTTCCTTTTCCTGGGCCAGCATTGTGACCTGACTGGGGGTTAAAGAAAAACTCTTTGAAGCGCAGCCCCTTTATTTTTGGAGCTGTGGTTGGAGCCAGCACAGGCAAGTTTTTGTCACTCTAAAATTCAGAGTTTTAGAATGAAGCCAAGCAGCTGCAGTTTCCCCCTTCAGCGTGGAAACGAGAGGCTTTGTGTCTCCTGTCACCCCGTGTTAATTTGGGCCCTAATGTATTTTATAAACAAAGGGCTGCTCTCTAGCCTGACAGTCGTGACACCTTGATTCCAGTGCAGGATGCATGCAGGACGGGGTTACACCATTAATAATCAACTGGCAGCCATCACACCATTTTAACCACGATCATTATGATAAAGGGCATACACTTAATTACAGGCCTGCTTAATTATAGCTCTGTTGAAGCTCGTTTGTTTGGTCAAATGCTAATTATACCACCACGCTCCTGGCAAGTCCTCATTTCAATCCACTTTTTGCTGGCGGAACAGTGTGGCTTATTTTCATGCAAATTTGATATCTTGTGAGTGTTTTGTCTCCCTTCTATACGCTTTTCTGTGCCTACAGTGCGAGCGTGTCTTTGTTTCTGAGGTGAACATCTCTCAGACACGACAGAATCAGGAATAATCAAGAGTAATTAAACTGGAAGAGGGCTGGGAAAAAGGGCTGGGTTGGAGGAGAGAGTGGAGGTGCTCAAACAGTGAATAAAAAAAATCCTTTCATCTTCTCTCAGTAGACGGAAGGCGGGGAGACGTTGGGGTGGGGGGGTGGAGGGGGTGATAGCTTTGCTGTTTTGTAATCCTGCATTTAGACTTCAGAAAGTAGTCGCATTTAAGACTAAAGATTAAAATGTTCTTCCTGTATAAAGTTTAACTTTGTTTTCTGTCCTCTTTTTTGCAGCTCTCGAAGATGTGCCCTTTGTGGTGTCAGAGAAGTTTCATAAAAAACCTCAGGAGGTAAAAAAAAAAAAAAACATGCAAAGGGTCAGCTGACAAATGCATGATTGTTTCCTGACTATTAATGCAACTTGAGAGGGATAGAGTAAATTTCTAGTTCATTTCTTCAGGTGGACATTACTTTTCTTTGCTGCACCTACTTTCCTTTTCTTTCTTCCACACTGAGAGATGAATGCATGCAGTCAGGAAAAGCTGGCTCAATGCAGTCCATTTGGCGGGCTGGCAATGGCTGTCACTACAGCCCCGTTTGTATTGACAGGGAGCGGGAAAGGATTAAAGTTTTTAAGCTTGCTTACTTAGCCTTGAGCCTAACTGCCATGTTTCTTCTTTTTTTTTCGTCCTTCCTGTTCTCCCTCTCCCTCCTTCGCTCCCTGCTTTTGATTTCAGATGCAGCAAGTCAATTTAATGGGCATTACGATCAAATCCCTGGCAGAGATCGAGGAGGAAGTGAGTAGAGGCTGCAACGCTCGGCTGCCGCCGACGCCGCTGGCCCAGAATGCAAAGCAAACGGTCTTGGGTTGTAATTAAGTGTCTGAGACAGTGAGGCCCTGTTGGCTCCACTAAGCCCCAATTGAATAAAAGCATGGCCGTGCTAGGCGTCCGTTCTCTCTTAAAAGCGTTACCTCCCTTTCCAAGAACTCTTGACTTTGTTCCCTAGTTCTTGCCTCCAACAACTCAATCATGCATCTCACACAGTTCTGTACACCTTAAAGGGATAGTTCAGGGGTGTAAAAGTATATATATTTTTTCCATTTTATAAGCAGTTAACAGCAGACTTGGAATCATCTGATTTTATATTTTTAAGTTTGTTGATCAAGAAGGTTGAAGTCATTCATAAAGGGTTAATACCAGAGAGAACTTTTAGCTTACAACAGCCCTAGTTTCTAGGGTTTTTGATAATGATGTTTAAACATTATTTTTGATATTTCTGATAATAAAATTTGTCCTTGCAACAGGAAAAAACTGTAAAATCAGCAAATCTCTGTTAATAATTATCTCTCTGAAAACCAATTATCAAAGGTAAAAATGTGCAAGTGCTTCAATTTCACCATTTGTTTAATCAACATTTTCTGGGGGAAAAAAAACTGTCTGGTCTTTTTCTTAGTACAATAATTTGTGTATTTCTGCACAATACTTGGATTTTAGAGTGTGACCTATAGCATCTTACCTGTTCTTTCACCTTTAGCAACTTGCACAGAATCTTCCTTGTCACTTGTGACCATTAAGTCCACTGCAGTCATTTCCAATGTCCATCCTTCCACCCTTTTCTTCATTAATTGCTCGTCCCCATTGATGGGTTCGAATGCACAGCATGTCCCAATTCTCCAGAGTGGTCTTATGCTCCACCCACAATCCAAACGCATTTAAGCAGACTTTGCCGGAGTATATTATCCACAATTCTCTACCGCATGTGATGTTCTGAGCAACAAGTTGCAAATAGGGCAATGTTTAGTGATGGATCTCATGTGCCAAAATATTAGCTTTTATGTCAAATACATTTTTCTTTGATTATACTGTACATATGTTTTGAAACAATTTTTAAGAGGTAGATTGCAAAACTTTCCCTCCGTGGTGCTGACATTTTGACATCACAGAAGCACAATTCGATAACTTAACCCGTACTCTCCCAATTCTTCAATTTTGCCTGTATTTAACCTCCACACTTGAGCCTCTACATGCATCTCATGAACACAATTTAAGATCTCCTAACATTCTCTTGTGTTATTAAATGTACACTAATAAGATGCTAATAATATACCATGCACCCCTTTTCAGAGGTCTGTGCAGTGATAAAACCTCTACATTTCTCATTTCTCTCCTTTTAACATACGACTTTGTTGCACATGATGGTGTTTTTTCCAGCTTACCAAATGGAGAAACCACAGCAGTCCTTCAAAATTAGAGGTTTCAAAAATACTCACTTTATGTAAGTAAAACTAAATGCATACGTCTAACAAAATAATTTGGTAAAAGTAAAAAGTCCTGATTGAACTCTTTCACTATAGTTATAGTAAAGTAAAAATAAAGTTCAGCTTCCACAATATACTTCGGTATAAAAGTAAAATAAGGTTTTTGCATTACCAGACACACACATACACAAAAAAACAACGGTTCAATGCAAAGTGGGGTTGTGTTCATCTTTTATTCACTTTGTTGGTGGAAAAAAAATATATAAGAAATAGTTTTTGGTCTGGTTTTGTTCTAAATAAAAATTTCAGATGGGAAAATATAAATGGAACCCAACAAAAGTCCTGAAATAGCGGTTAAATACTTTTAAAAACTCCGGTATTCAGAGCATTAAAAGATAATAAGTACATTAAAATTTAAATAGAATCTGAAACTTAATCACCTCGTAAATTAAAAATCTATGCTGGATTTGGGCTCCAACTGGACCGAACCGGTCTTTACACTCTCGATTTTCCCTGCAATGCATGGCATTATAAATATGAAATATATTTATAAGGAATGACAATATATATACATATAAGAAATGACAAGAAGGTTTTTAAGTATGGAGTAAAAAGTATAGATATGTCAAATGTAGTGAGTAAAAGTAAAAAATAATAATACACAAGCAAAGTAAAGCTATGAAAGAAAAAAATATTTATTGAATAAATGCATAATCAGATTTGAATTGAAAGTGTTCTATTTATGCATACTGAATTTTGTTGATAAGAACAACAGCTGGTCAGTTTGGGTCTTCCATTAGGCTAAACATGGACCAGCAGGCTTTAGGTTCAACATCTCTGAAAGAATCAGTTACCAATTAAGTTACATTTACACAGGTACACTGTGTACACAGGTACACAGGGACATTATTTTCACATGACCAATGATACTCTTATGTTAAATGTACTGACAAAAGCCTGTATCACAGCAACCACCTAGCAGTAAGTAATTAAGTCACTACAATAATCAATGAAATTAAAGCTCTTCATATTGCTTTACTTTAATATCAGGTAGTAATTTTTCCCAGAAATGGTTAATATTTTCAAAAGAGGAGGATGAATGGTGACACACCGACCCCTACCTTTATTTCCTTCATTAATAATCATTGCCGTCTTAATAAATAGTCAGCATTCCATTATGTTTTAACCTCTTAAAATCCACCTATCGCCGGCAACCGTTTTTATAGTTTTTTTTTTTTTTTTTTACAGATTTTTACTAATATAGACATGTTAGTAAGTTCATTTGACATTTTTTAAAACAAAACTTGTCTTTAGACAGTATAGTCCGATGAGGCCTAGCTGCTCTGTCTCTGACACAGAGGAGGTTATCCACCACCATAAGAAATTAAGGGGCTATAATATTTGAACACAACCTGACTTAAAAAACCCTTTAATTAACATTTATGTTCAGTTTCTTTTCAATCTTTCAATCACCCCTATATTAAAAAAAATGTGACATATACATACATAAAATAGAGAACTACAAAATTCTCCCTATTTCTGATGAAATACTGTAGCCTACAGGCATCTGTAGGAAGAAAATCATCTGTACGCAGCTCCTTATTTTTACAGCTCTAGTATTTGTGAAAACGAGAGACAAAAAGAGTGCGCATGTCTCTGTGTGTGTGTGTGTGGGGGGGTGTGTGTGTGTGTGTGTGTGTGTGTGTGTGTGTGTGTGTGCTTAAGAGTGACAACCCCCCTTCTCTCTCATTAGCACGGTATCTTGGTATCAGAACTGCCAGGAAGTGACAGACCACTGTAAAAGAACAGGTGCTGTTGGGTTTGAGATGTGTTACAGAGCAAACACTCCCTCATCAAACCGGGTGTCTGTTCTGCACTCTGCCTCTGTCTTCTGTCACACACTATCCAAATCACACAGTCGCCATCTTGTCATATGGTCATCCGAATGAAGCTCATTGCCGGCGCAGGTATTAACGCCATCTACATGTGCATGTGTGTGTGTCCAGGCTGGAGACAGGCTGACTACTCATCCTATATATTCTTGTCTTTTATTCCTTCTTCCTCTGCTCCTGCTTCCTCCCCACCTCCTCCTCCCTCCTTTTCTTCTCTGGGAGTGTGATTAGCAGGAGGACACATGGTGAGCTGAGCTGGGGAAGAGAAGGGAAGGGCATGAGAAATCATTAATTACAGCCGCGCTGGAGCTGATGAAGTAAATGTGAGATAGTGTAACACAGGATTTAGTGAAGTGGACGACAGCACAAGATTAATGGTGGGGCCAGGCTGATGAGGATAAGTCACAGCTTAGCTTGATAATTAGTTTCCAAGTGGAAACATCCCTCACCATTGTGTTATTTTTACTTCTCTCCTCTTATTATTATAGCCGATGAGCACAAGCAGAGGGAAATGGAGTCAGTAATTTACCTGCAAAGCAGCACAAAGTCTCCTTTTATTTCTTTTCCAAATCTTCTTGGTTTACTTTTTATACACATGTTTTTATTATTGTTATTTTTTTTTTTCTTTTTATTGGAGCATCTTCTTTCCCCTTTTCTTTTAGAACATCTTCTTCCTCTGCTGTCCAGAAGAGGTCACTGTCACCTGTTCTCACTATAGACACCCTCACTACAGATTCCAATTGCCTTCTTTTCTCAAAATTGCCAAGAAATAAATAAATAAACACAGAAAGAGATGTAGCCCTTCTGAATTCTCCATATGCGCATGTAATTGAGGTAAACTGTTGTAATCAGAGCCAGAGTTGTAGATAAGACCATTCCCTAACAGGCATCACTTAAGCCATGTCTCAGACGATGTTGGTTCCAGCAATTAGGCATTCTTTTCATTTCCCAAATGACTCGCAAAAAAACTTGAGGATATTATAATTGCTTTTAGCCACGCATATCTAATTTGTGTCTTTTTAAGTGTTAATTAGTAAGCGAATTAAAGTGACATCTTTATGTAGTTTGCTGTGCTGAAAAATGTTGTTGGCGGCTGCTTAATGATTTTTAGAGCGAGTATAGCGGACTGGGATAAAGTGTGTGTGCACACATGACGGGCTTTTCATTAGCACCTATGTATGATCGGTTTCAGGGAGTTTTCTGTGTGTTTGGGTGTGAATGAATGGAAGGACAGTAGAGTACAGTGGTGTGTGAGAGGCAGAGCTCCAAATAGAGGTGGAATTAATGAAGACAACATGTCACATATTTTTGGCAGTGGAGCAGGGACAGGAAATGAAGCTGGGCTCGTCTGGGTGACTGCCGCCCATGTTCGAGTGTGTCACTGTCCTGTCAGGCTGTGTGTAAAACTGGCAGACATTGATACATGCTCTCCCTGATAACACCCCATTCCCCCATCCATCATCCACACACCCCCACACACACACATACACACAATCACTTGTATATTTATTTACTGTGCCAGATGTTGAGACTGATTTTTGTGTGAGTGGAGAGACCTGAATTCTTTCACAAATAATAGGCTTCTGATATGTGACAGGTTTGGGTAACTTGCTGCTTCGCCACAAGTAGATGAAGGTGGGAGTGGGAGTGGGAGTGGGAGTGCACTCCCCCTCATTGGGAGCACACAGTTTTAAAATTTCAGGTGTTGTTCTGTAGCTTGCTGCCTTCTGAGTTGGACTGTGGTGAACTTCTTCCGGTGATCATACAGCATCACCTAGTGCTCCCTTACAGTAAGACAACTGTTGAACTTAGTGTGAGGAGCTCTGCTTATGTCTTTAAACTCACAATTAAAAAAAATGTTAATCGCTTTGATCTGTTCGGAAAATACTCCAATATAATCTAGTGCAAATTTACTTTTTCCAGTGCATAAAACTAAATATATTTGTTATTGTTTGTTGTTTTTGTTTTTTCTTTTTGTAGGATTTTTGGAAAGCTCTACTCTCATTATATTTTTATGGATTTTTCTCTTTTTTTTTAATTAACTTTGAGCAATACAGCAATTGGAAAATGTAGACTTTTTGAACCGATTACAAAAGTAACTTCATCTTTGGCAGGTCATTTTGTTGACTAATGATTTAATGTGAGAAAAAAAAAGGCAGCTATGACAATAACGCTGATGATCTCAGTCTGCATGCTCACAAACAGTCAGCTGATTGTTGAATATAGGAAAAATAGGGAAAAAAATGGAAAATAATGTAGAATTTATATATTAATTATCAAACTGAAATACAAATACATTTCTATGCCCGCAAATGTATTTAAAAAATCAGTTTTATTTCTGTTTTTTTCTTTTTTTATATAATGAAAACATCAGTAATAAGAGATGGCAGAAGTAACCAAGTAACCACATCAAAGGCAGTTATTCTGTGATTTATTTGAATATAGTTGCTGTAGGAGGCGCTGTTGCTTCTTTTCTTCAATTAACTTTGGTTTTCTTTGAAAAACAATTGATAAAATGTGTTTATTATGTAAGCAGACTGAAGCCTATTTATTTATTTTTATTTATTTGTTTATTTACTTATTTATTTATGTATATGTATTTTAGTTGTAAGGTCTTTTTACATTACATTTTCTTTTACAAAGTTACGTTTTCTCACCAGTGTTAGGAAAAGACAAAAAGCTACCTATATAAATAATGAATTATATATATTTTCTTCTCTTCTGTATTCAAATAATATCTATTTTATTTTACTTTGATGTGTTTTCTTTCTATTGTTTCTTTCTATGTAATCCAAAAACTGTCCCAACTTAGTTACTTCCTGGCTTACAATTAAATCTGAACTTCAAAGCAGTCTGTAAATCCATAATTTAGCAACATACCAAAAAAAAAAAAAAAAAAAAAAAAAAAAAAAAAAAAAAGGGGTCTTGTCGTTCTTCTACCACAAGGGGGCAGTGGTACTGTACCTCCTCCCTGGAATAATTCTCTCATCTTTTTCCTGCTGATGGATAAACTTCACTCAGTCTTATTTTAATTTAATAGTTAAGTGACATCAGATAAAAATCTTAGACTGTGTCCGAATGGTGCTAAAATAATTCTTTGTTTATTTTTTTCTCTGTATTTCCTTTCTCTCACAGTAATTCCACCTTTTTTTTCTCCTGACAGTTTCACTACAACTTCGGCACAGAGCGGAGTATTGTGTCTTAACTTCCAATCAAGCCACAGAAGCCACTGTAACCAGAAAGGACAAAGAAAAGAAAGGAAACAAAAATTAAAAATAAACTGTGATTTCTTCTACTAGCCTAGATTTTATTATGTTATTCCCTACCTCTTTTTATTTAATTATGTAATTTCTGAAATGTATTTAGAAATAAAAATAAATGTTTTCTCTTCAAAATGTGAAACTTCTACAGTTATCCTCCTTTTTTACTTTATTTGTCAGATAGTTGGAATCAGATTTAAAAGGGTGTGTGGCCCAAAATAAAACAACAATTTCCAGAGTGAACATGGTAAGCTGTGACTCACTTGTTGCTCATCAGAGTTGCACATCTTTGATGATGCCTTGGAGGGCGAAGAAGAACGCAGGAACGAACAGGTCCATCTCATGTTCATTTTCCAGAAGAAGCATCTTCCTGTCAAGCTTCATGAGGAGCATGCAACAACAATGAGCAGAGCCTGGAGACATGGAGTGTTTACCCCAGACACCACCCCACACACACACACACACACACACACACACACACACACACACACACACACACACACACACACACACACACACACACACACACACACGTTAACAGTTACTCTTCAACTGAATCAGCTCTTTAAAAGCACGACCGTTCACTATGGAGAATGTTTTTCCCATATGCTGCTTACCTGTAGTTAAATAAACTATTTGGAAAACTTGGATTACAATGACTTTAATTATTCCTAGACAATAATATTGAGGTAATCATCCTTTAAAAACACACTATGATTTTGTTTTGGGTCTTTGACATTAACAAAATGCACTACAGTTATGAACACAACCTTAATACCAAAGAATGACTTCCTCATCACTGCTCATTTTTTAAAAACTCAGATTTATCAAGTGTAATTAATATCAGACATTTATTCACTGAAAAACATCCCTGCTGTTTATTAGACTTGTAATTTGGTGAACTTACAGATTTTGCCAACTGTTTCTTTTTTTTTTTTTTTTTTTGTTGTTGGGCCAAAACTCCTAATGGCTTTTGATTTTCACAGGTGTTTAATGAAGCAGGCAGCAGATGACAGCCCTCCTTGACTGTTTGGTTTGTTGCTCTGCTGCTGCTAAAATCAGAGCGACTGAGGAATTCTCTGCAGAGGGAGCAGCTTTCACGCTCCTTCGCGAAGGTGACACTCGTGTCAGTGAAGCCCCTGAGAACGTGACAGGCTTCATCAGCCTTGCTCCCTGCTGGTTCATAGAGTGCATCTATACAGTGTGCCATATGCAAACTGAAAAAAATATGCAAGAAAAAAGTAGTTTAATGTGCCAGGGAATTTCAGATGTTAGATAGTTTTTATGCTTATTCCATTTTTTTATACACCCTTTAATAGATATGCGTTGTTAGTGTTCTTTAACTTTCTTTTTTTCAGTATATAAATATAAAAAATAGATATTTTGTTTTTGTAGGAAATTGACAGGACCAAAACTACAACTAAACTTTAATTAGATATCAAAAGTAGAGAAGAAACCATACCTTGAAATATTTATATAGTTTTGGAAACCAATAACATAAATATGAGTATATCCAAGTCATATTTCTTATAATGTCTTATTTTTTTAAAGTATGCATAATATCCATGTGCTGTGCTCAGTGTGAGCAACAATGTATGTTATTGGGATTTTAACTTTCTGACTTTAACGGCTCATAACTCTGTAGGTCTGATGTTGGCATGTAGGTAATAAAACGTTTGCTTCTACAGGAAAAAAGCTGGATCATCCTGTCTGACAATGAAAAATGAAGGCACGTTTAAATATAAAAAGATTTGAATTTGCAAAAAAAATAAATGTTTAAATGTACTGTAATCTTATTTATTCATTTATTTGCTGCATTATTTTCAGTTCGCCTGCTTATTCTGTTTCTCATTCACATATTTCAAATCCAGTATCATTTTCAGATGAATATTCTCGTATTTAATACATAATATCGTTCCTAAACTCTTTATGGTAAAACAGTGTTGTGTTGATGATAAATGGATTAGAAACTGCTAGTTTAAGTGACTTTAGAAATAACAAAAAATTGACAAATAGGAACTGAAATATTTTTTACAAAGTTTGTAATTTGGCTGACAGATTTATAATGCACCTCTTAGGTTCTGATTGTTTCTCGGTTTCTGTTAAATTCTCTACCATGCAACTTTTTAGAACCTGTGTTTTCTTTTTGTTTTTTATTATAAAATGTTTTATCATGTTCTAATTTTACCTCTAAACCTCCACATAAACCCATCTTAAATGAGCAGCAATCAATCAGCAGATATAAAGTAAAATAGTGGCAGTATGATGCACTGAAATACCTTTATCGAGCGAGGAAAAACATGTGGATGGAGCTAAATATGGAGCAGTTTAAGAAAAAAAAAAAGACTTAAACTGTGCTGGAGGTTGGCCTTCCAGCATTACAACGACCCTAAACAGGCAGAACAACAATGGGCTGGTTACATCAAAGCATATGAATGTTTCCGACCTAAATCCAATTGAGAATTTAAAGCAACACTGGAAAAAACTGAAATCTAGATAAGTAATTTTTTTCTTAAAATAAGTGCATTTGTTCTTGGATTGAGGACTTAAAAGACACATTTTGCCAAAGGAACGGGATAATTTACATTTAAAAATAAGAAAACACAATTGCATTGTCTTATTTCAAGTGCATTTTATCTAATCATCTTGTTTAAAGAGTAAAAATACTCATTCCATTGGCAAACTACCTCATTTACCTACTCAAATCAAAGGTAAATACAATTAATTTAAGCTATTTTTACTAATTTGTAGATTGTTTTTCCAGTGAACCCTTAAACATTGATTTGTTTTAGAGGGTCTCCATCCATTCTGGCTGAGCTTGGAATAAAAAAAAATTAATAGCTTCAGATCAGGAACTGAAATATTTTTTTACATCAATGTCACACATCTTTTTACACGCAGCCCTGCTACAATACACCTAAATCAAATGGGTAAGCATTCATTCGAGCTCTAAACAGTCCTGCTAATGAGCTAACTATGAGATTCAGTTTAAAGAAAACTGTTTCAAAATGATGTCACTTCCTTTTTCATCTCCACTTGAATCTACCTGGTCTCTGCAGCCTACAGAAAGGTTTATGCCTTTAAGTGATGTTGAACTAAATGGAGCAGCACATCAAAGCCCCACCCCTCTGTGAGTCCACCAGATGTCTCATGGTCATTTTTAAACTCACACCCTGGGCCCATGACATGTAGCTGTGTGTAAGCATGTAGACAGAGGTAGATGGCCACTTGGAAATTGGAAAAGGAAGCCTGTATTTATGAGGTGGTTTGAGTTGCTGTGTTAAGACAGGCTTAGCCTGCCACTCTCCCTCTGACAGGCCTGTTTCCCCCCCCTGAGCCGAGGTGACCAGAGACAGGGTGAGGTGAAAGAGTAAAGGCAGGAGGGCCTGTCTAAGACAGGACTCTCAGGCAGGTGATGCAGCAAATCACTCTGCCAAGGAGTGTACCGTTCACTAGATTCATCATCTTCGTCACAAAGAAATAGAAAACTAATTGTTTTGTCTAGTCAGATTGCTTAAAATTTTCACAGAGGCCAAAACTGAGAAAGTCAAAGTTAATGGTTATAATATGACACCCACCTTTAATTTGACCACTTACCTCAGATGGTTTTCGTTGGCTGTTGATGTCATTAAGTGTTAGAAACCCTGACTGAGTCTGGAAGCAAAACGTTGGACGTGTGGTCTTCACCATACCGCCGCCTTAACAAGCCCCTGAGCTGCACTTAGAAGGAAGCCGCTCATCATACGCGTCTTTCCATACTTCAGCTGGAGGTAAGATGAGTGATGTCCCAGAGCAGGGAACCCCTTTTCTTCCTCCCCCTTTTTCTTCCTTTTTCTGCCAAGGCGGTCGGCCCATGTGAGTCACATTACTGTAATTGTACAGGGATGGAGTCGGGTGTGAGGTGATCTCTCTCTTCATCCCTCCATCCCCCCCCCCCAATCTTTCTCTTGCAGATATTCGCCACATGTTGTGAAATGACCAGCAAACATCTTTTCTCTCCCTTTCTCGGTCTCACCCCTGGAACACTCCTTGCAACACAGAAATCAATTAACTCCTTTCAAGTCAGATCAAAGACCCGTTGTGCCGACCAGGCTTTACTTAGACTTCAGGTGCAATTAAGTCTCCCACTGGATAGCGATGGTCCTGGACAAACGAAGGCAGGCTGCTGCCACTGTTCACCAATGTGTGAAGTATGCATAAAGCACTGGGAAGTCCTTAAACAAATGTTCAACCAAACAAGGAGGATGATTATGAAAGGGAATATTTTGACCTTTTTTATGTACAGTAATCTGTAACTGCATTTGACCCTGGCCTGACTTTGACTGTTCCTTATGTGAGGTTGCAACAACCGATCTATACATGATAAAGATATCTGGAGAAGTTAAAGCAAATATTCAGATAAGCTTGTTGACACCAAGATGCCACATTTTGCTTCAATTTTCTAACAGTGGGTTAGATAAACTGGTACTTGTCTGTCTCAAATCCAGGTGTTTTCCACTGTTCCTTACTGCAGATATAGAAAAAATCAGGTGAGCTCTGGACTAGAAGATTACATTACATCATTTTACTCTATTTTCATGCCTGTTCTGAGTGGCTAATTGGCTTCTTTGTTGATTGTTTTTTATTTATAAAGAAAAAAGTCTTTCTACCCAGAGTGACGTGGTTTGTAGGGACTCTACAACCAAGCCAAACTGAAAACTACTACCTGGAGGTGAGATTCATTTGTTTCCAGGAAATGTATTAAACCTCAACTGAATAAATCGTCACTGAATGCAGATGCATAAAGGAAGTTTAACACAAGGTAAACCGTTAAGCACTGTCTATAGACCAAAACAAGATGTGTGAAAAGCCATGTCTCTCTCTACCACCAGTCCAGCTGCAACTCCATCCTGACTCGCCCTCCCTTCCAAACTCGTGTGATCTATGCAAAGGTCAAATACACGGTAAACTAACATCACTTTTGGGAGGAAAATGTTAAGTGGATACTCATAACTATAATTCTGTTAGTTAGAACTTTTTTTTTGGCAAATGTTCTACTGTTTGTTAATAACTGAGTAATTGTGCCATTGAAAAACTGTTTCACTATTTGCATCAAACTGTATGTTTGCGGCTAATGGCATTAGTAGACTGTTAAGTTAGTAAAGTAATTACACTATGACGGCAGTATGAGTAGCTCTCCTGCAAAAGCAATCGAAAGCAGTTGGTCAGATGCTTTACGCTGCTGCTGGCCTTTTTTTGACAGGGAGGCGCTACGCCCTGAGAGAGCTATTCAAATGGAAGTACATGAACTAGCGGCAGTTTCAGCTTCTGAACAAGACACTGGAATAAAGCACAGAGAAAGGGCGTGTGATGCCATCTAAACAGATACCTTTCATTCTTCACATCAATATTCTTTTTTCGAATTAATTATTGCTCTTTTAAAAAAAGTTTTAGAAAAACTATATTTCCATAGTAACATTTAATGCTAACCCAGAGATTGTGCTTTTGTGAGACATCTACATAAAAAAAAAACTGGGAGAGTAGCTTTTTTATAATTATTTTTGCTCAATTAATCCACTCATCTATTCACATCTTTATAATTTTAGTTAACCAATGAAACCGATAAGTTACATAAATAATATTTTTCTTTTCTATGAGCGTTGGAAGGTTTGTGACAGAGTTTCTGAGTGTTGGTTATATGCGCAAAAATGTGGGATGCACAGAGTCCCATTCAATCAATAAATGCAGCTCATCAACTCAAATCTATATCAGGCAATTAAAGCTTTTATTTAATCTACAAAAATAAGTAAAAAATAGGAGTTAGTTGGATTGTATTTGAATGTTTAGCATCACAAATTGTTTTAGAAAATGATTTTTTTGTAAAAGTAAAACATTCCTTGCTAAACACATTTAGTCAAATTAAAAAAGTAATTTTTTGCTTTCTTTAAGTTCTGTTTTGTTTTTTGTGTTTATGGCATCTTTGGCTGTATTTATCGAGTTATGTTTACTTTTATTTTTCCTTTTTTTATTTTTTGCAATGCATGTTGCATCTCCTGGTGCTGGGAAGAAATACCAAAGCTCCTAACTAATCTCTCCATCAGCACTGCTGTGCCACAGAGTGTGACATCAAACCAGTCGGACATGAGGGAAGTGACTAAAGTTTCTGTCCACAGACAGGTGCACTGACCCTGTCCACCCTCCAAGGTGCCACTTGTATTTTATTGGACATTTATAGCCGGCCAGCATTTTTTAACCGCCACCTGGATGCAATAAAGGTTCAGCTCCTGAGCTCTGGCTGCCCAGAGGATTTCCCAGCAGCTCCCACGGGACTTCTGGCTAGTTAAGATGTTTATTAAGCTGAAAGTGGTCCAGTGGGAAAACAAGGCACTTCTGAGAGATTCGGGCCAGCAGTTTTCTTGTTAGACAGTGTGCTCCCTGGAGGATTGGGTTTCTTTTTCTTTCAGACCTCAGAGGGAGGACAGGGTCAGTTCACGGGGTGCAGGGTTGACCAAGTGGTAACTAGGCACATGAACCCAGGAAGGCAAACATCTAGATAGCATCAAGGTCAGCCCGCTGTGATTCCCACAGTTCCAAAGCCTACAGAGATCAGCCGAAAGCTTTCGTGTTCGCTCTGAAGAGGATACGGTTTAATTTTGGAATTCCATCATCTAACTACTGAATGAATGAATTCTTGGTAGGAATAGTTTATCTTATGATAAAATATATAATTAGCAGAAACTTTTTCCTATTTTCTTTGTAAAATGTTTAAAGATTCTGACCAATTAGAATAGAGCAGAGCTATTTCTGCCCGCTGTTTGATAGATCTTGACCTCACTAAGCCCTGTTGGACCTCTAACTTAAAGCCCTGGTCAGTAGCCTCCAGCACTCTGAACTATAATAACTGATGTTAGTCCCTGTTTTAGTCCCTGTTCAACTAACTTCTTCTCCGCTCAGCCTGATAAATATCCCTTTTGTTCTCATTTAGCTGTGAACTCTCAAACTGCAGAGGCCACGGCGAGCACATTGTGCGGCGCACATGTTGGAGTGATGGGTTTTTTAGTGCTCTCTGCCTAATGTTCAGGACAGATTAGAAATGCTCGCCTGTGACAGATGCTGTCTCCATCTTCACTATCAGATCCACCCAGCTGCAAAACATCTGGTGGATTTCTACCTTTTCTCTGAAGTGCAGCCTGTTATTGGCACACTTACAATCATATATGTACGCTTGCTCACAAAAAAACATCCACCGTATTTAATTGAGACAGGAAAAAAAAAAAAGAAGCATATTTACAGATGTGTGATCAGCTAAAAGCCTGCTGGCCTCAGTAGGGGGATAATCTAATGCTTTTTTTCTGTGGATTTGAGAAAATATTTGTTTTTGTTGCATTACATTCTAAAACCATGATTCATCATTATTTTTGTTCCAGAAAAATCTGATACATTTAGTTGTTTGCATCCAAATTTTTTTGGGGAATATCTGTCTCTACCAAAACCACAAAGTGTGCAAACACATGCAGGCTCTTCAGTAGACGGAGAGGTTTTCCTCTCCACATGAAGACCCGAGCTTGTTGTTAATGGCATAAATCCTAAAATAATTCTCCGGCATCCTGGAGTTTGAACTTTTTCCCTCGGAGGAGGCACTATTTTTGCCGGACAAATCCATTGAAAAACATGACCATTTGATGAAAGAAGCTGCAAATCATACCTGAGCAGAGGTACTTTTGCTAATGACAACATTAGCCTTGTAACAACAAAGGACATTTACTCTGCCCCAAGATGATGGTTAACAAAGTTTGTGAAAGAGCTTAAAGACCTTTCAGAGCATGAGGCGTCGTTTCTTTACCGTCTACTCCACCCCAGTAATTGAACTTTAAGAGTTATTTATTAAGCTTCTGAATTTAGTCTCATGCAAAGATTATTTTTATCCACACCATGAGCTCAAAGGGATTTATATCTACATTTAAAATTCTTTAAGAAACATTTTAAAAAATAAGGTAAAATCAATAAGTTTTGTAAGAAAAAAATAAAAGTAGAATAAACCTGCATAATTAGCATGAAATAAACTTTATATCTTAGTTTTCTTAGTCTATTCTTTTAGTTGGAGAAATATGAAATAGAATTAAAAATATTAGGCTGAGTTTTTTTTCTTTCTAGTTTATTTTTGCAGTAAAACTGATGACCTAAATATCGCATAAAATTAAAGAATGACATATTTCTACTGACTGTATTTTATGAGGATATTTTAAGTTTTTTTATTTTTGTTCATTTTGCTCTGAATTATTTTTTGAGATTACAAATTTATCATAATGATTTTTTTTACTCAAGTTGTTTTCCTTCAATTGTTTTTGGTTTTATGTTAGTTTTTTTCTTTTTGAGTAATAAAAATAAAGAGAAAATTCAAAAATCCTGCAAAAAAATTTATTCCACGGTGTTGATTGGATTTTTTAATAATATTTGGAATATGGAACATATTTTAATCTGGAGTAAGTCTGAATATTATGTCAGTTAGTTTAATTAACTGAGTTATTCTAAATTGCTTTTCATACAAAAAAGTATTTAGTGGCATATATTCTATTTGTTTAGCATTACAAATAAAAATAACCTGTATTTAATGTAATTTTAATTACTAATTGCCAAAACCGATGTGTAATACATTTGATCTAAACAAGGCTAAATGCTTTTATACCAAAAATTCCATCATCAACAACATAGCTTGTTATTCTGGTATAATCAAATTTTAAAAAAGGAAACATTTGCAACATCTAATAAAAGATTAACATGTGTTGTTGGTGAACTTTTCTTTTTTTGACAGAACACATTTGTTTTCTCTGTATTTTCGGTTTAGTATAAAGTCTTCAAAATTATGATTTCATTAGCATGTTACTGAATAAACGGCGCACTTTGGAGAGACGAACATTTTAAACACTGTGAGTTGTACATATAGGCTTTCGCCAGCAGGGGGAGGTGTTGTAATTAAAAAAAAAGCTGTTTTAACAGCTGCGCAGCTGTAAAACAGCATGTTACACTCAGAGTCACGCTGCAACTGTCTGCACAGACAACTGTCCTTAGGTTTGCTTTATAGTACTTAAAAAAAAAGATAAAACACTATTCTTTCACTGTGGAATTATTAATAATTGGAAACAACAGAAAAGATAAATAATCTATTAAAGTTATATATTAAATTATACAAGATAATATATTTTTAAAGGTTGATAGTTGCCATTAAAATGTCTTCAAATTTAATCAACAATATTAGTTTAAGCATAGTTTCTAATAATTGTTTCATTCTGTAAACATTAATGCTTTTACTTCAGCAACAAATCTAAATATTTTTCTTCCATATTCCTAAAATGTTGGCCCTGGCAACATTTCACCAAATGTGTATCGTCTGGGACAAAGCTGCAAGGCTAGTGAAATTATACATTTCTTTTAATTATTATTTTTATTTGGAAAGTAAGAGGAAAACTTTGAGCTGTCATACGACTGGAGAAAGCATCTGTAATTGAGCAATAATTAAGTTTACTTTCTGCTTTAACTAGTTAAGCAAACTGTGCTGATGGTGAAGCTTTTGAACAGCAGGAAAAGGTTAAATGTACCCTTATTGGAACAGATTTCCAAAGATTTTATCACCATTCAAGGTCCTTTTTGTGTCTAAATTAGTTCTCTATTGTTTGAACTCTCTAACATGGGAACCAGTTGATCTTATGTAAATAAAACTGCTTATGACTCTTTTACAGAGTAAGGCTAAAGACCCTCTCAATTAATGGTGCAAATTAATACCTAAAGTTAAGAAATTGGGATTGATTGCTTATAAGTACAATTAATCAGAGGTTGAAGGTTTTTAATGAATCTCAAGAACTTTGATCCAAGAGGAAGACGTTTTAAATTCAGCCTCTGCTTTTAGGCTGTTGACAATAGAGTTAAAAAAAAAAAAAAAACTCTGCTTGTTTAGAGTGTAATATTTACCGTCGTCTTTCATGTTCTTGTTGCTGTTGCTGAGATTTTTTTTTTTTTCAAATCTTATAGTAATGAAATTCTTTGATTCTTAAATTACCTTACCCATTAAACTTACACAACTTATTATCAATTTATGACTAAAAAATACTTTCATTACAAACTATAAAAATTGTTATACCAACTGTGTTGGTGTAAATCTGTTTATTTCATTGTTGCATTAGAAAATATTCTCATAATTAAAGCTTTGGTGCTTATATGCAGTTTAAGCTAATGACTAGGAGATGGACTTGAAGCACAAATAATTTATTTTCTGAATTTTGTTGTTCTTGGATTCAGTTTATTGTTTTAATAAAATGGGAATTTAAAGTAAAAGTACACTCCAGTTTTAAACAATCCAAACGATTATTATTTAGCCCAATTCATTTCTTAATTACATAACCAGGTTCACGTTCAAAACCAAACTCACCAAACAGATTAAACTCTGAAATAATTTTCAAGCATTAAAGTAGGAATTATTTACAGGTCACATGTGTTTGTTAAGCAGCTAATATGATGAGATATTCATTTTAATTACAAAATAATTCCTTTTTCAGGCTTCAGGGTTGAAGGATTGTTAGATCTGGATGATCAGGGCTGGAGACTTGGGTCATTTTTAACAGTTCCTGTTCTCATGAGGAGTTAAATACAAATGAAAGAAAAATTGGTTATTTTGTATGTGCATTATTATCATTATTTTTTATTGTACTTTCTGCATTTTACAAGTGGTATTATGAGAATTCACATAGCCTGATCTGCTCCAAAAACCTTTTTGCAGGCGCAGGTTGCAATAGAAATTATATGCAGCTTCTTAGTTTACAGTCAACCAGGGTTTCCTTACCTAAAAGTATTCATAAGCTTGGGAAAAGTTGCACATTAATGAACATCAGTATAAAAACAAATGTAAATGTGCCGGATTATAGCTACAAAGCTAGTTTTCATCCGTTAAAAACTCTATTAAGAGAAGTAGTTTTATCTAGGTGATTGCTCTGAATCTGAAACATATTTCTAATCTTTTATCGAAACATATAGCAAGAAACATTAGAATTTTAAGCATTAACCATTTTAAGCCTTTTAATTTATATGGAAAAAAAGTTTTTAATCTCTAGAATTTATCCAAAAGGGGAAACAGTCTTATTTAGAGTTTTTTTTTTTTTTTTTTCATTTTACCCTGAAACAAATTAGATCTGGCATAAACATTTTACAACATAATATAAAAATAATATAATATAATAAAATTAGTTCATTGTAAAGAAACATAAATAAATAAATAAATAAATAAATAAATAAATAAATAAATAAAAAAGGTGTGTTTCTGTTTTATTAAACACTAAATATATATAGTCTGGATGGGCTAAGCCCCCAATGCCTGTGTCTTAAAAACGCCTCTGTTCATTGTTATGATAAGTTGTGGAAATTTAGAAAAACAGACCCATATATGGTTATATTTATAATCACGCGAACCATCACTGGGTTTGACTATACCTATAATTAGATCAAATGGTAATCAAGTCCCAGCTCAGTCTTGCTCCATGCTCTGACGCTGCGGCCCACAGCCGCAGGTAAACGGATTTCAGAGTCACATTGCCAAGCTGGATGTCAGCTCCCTGTCACACGGGAGGCTGTCAAGCCATTTGTCAGGAACTCGATAAATTTGTCAGAGGAGGGGATGGCTGGGGAAGAAAGAAAAAAAGAAAATCTGAATCCAATAAATCATAACGTAAACAAATCTCGCCATGGGTTGACAGTGCTGTATTAAACTTCGGTCTAATCCTCCGGGAGCCGGGATTATCCCGCAGTATCATTTTTTTTTTTTCTTCTGCCTCGATAAAGATCAGAGCTGGGCTACTTTAACTTCTCATCAAATAACCTAAAAAAAAATCCTTAGAAATATTTATTGACTTAAAATTCGGAATAAACAATATTAAACATAAGTTACTTCATTTACCGCGGGGCCCCTTCACTGTCCTGAAGGGGACCCAAACTGTAAAAATGGGAAAAAAAATGAAAAAAAGAGAAATCTTCAGCCTCAGAAAAGTCAGATGGAATTACATGTGACTGGGTCGCAAAATGCAAACGCTTCAACAAGCCTCTGTGTTGATCCACGATGGTCAGCGGTTCCAGAGAGTGAACCAGAAAGCGCTGTGCTCCTGCAAAGCTTCCGCTCCCTGCAAGTATTTTAAAGCAAACAATGAGCGAGGCTAAAACTGTCCACCATGGCAATATTTTCACCAACGTTTGGGAACTTCTTCAAACTAAAGAATAACGTTATGCGCTCAATTGCCTGATATTTGCATACGTTTAAGAAGCTCAATCTTCATTAGAAAGCCCTATTAAAAGATCAAAGTGAGTAAATTACCAAAGTCCTGCAGCTCTCCAAATTAGGCGGCCATTATGTTTGTGCTTTGCTATAATTTCCCCTTTGAAGATGCAAGAGTTTCTTCCCATTTTCAACAAGGTATTTTATTTTAACTTGCCTCTTGGTTTTACAGGATTATTTTAAAATTAAGTGCAAACTCTCAGCTTAAGCAACTTTCTAGAGATAGTATCCCGCAAGCTGCAGGACTAACGCTGATCCCAGTCCACACTTCAGATTATGTATAATCTGCATTATACGCTGAAGTAATTTATCTTTATTTATTAGTTTTGTAGCCTGCAGAGCCTCCGGGTTTAAGGACGGCCTGTGGCGGGGATGTATGCGTCTTATTCTGGAGCAACACGATACAAATTAATAATAATAATAATAATTGCATTAATTTGCGCATATATATATATATATATATATATATATATATATATATATATATATAGCCTATATATTTACCATTTTGTTTAAAGAACTTATTGATAATGGCAACAAATTGTATACCCTGAAAATATTATGTAATTATTAGATTTTTTTATTTAATTATGTAAACAGACTCATAACAATAACATTTTAACTTTTCAATTATAATAAGTATAAATACTAGAAATAATACAAGGAAACAAGAGGTTCTAAATACAATCTAATTAGGTATTTTAAGCCCAGTTTCTATAAGTTTGTAGACATTTTACTTTAGTTTAAAAAAAAAAAAGCCATCCCAGGGTAAAACGCAAAATATTCCTCTTAAACTTTCTGAGAAGTTGAATATTTCCGCCTGAACTAAGTTATTTTACTTTGTTCTAATTGCATATATCTTTCAATATTTTGGTGTGTCTAAAAAAAAAATTATATTTCTAAAATGAGAACAGGCGCCTGCAGGAATCATGGCTGTTTGGATTATGTTTTAAAGCTGTATTAATATAATAGCCCCTTACCTTTCCGATGGATGCAACAGTTCTGCTTACTTTAAAGTAAATTGCATGCTTTCTGTGCAACACACCTGCTGCTATAGTTTTTTCCCCCCCACTCTCATAAGGCGAGGGAGGGCCTGTCATGCAGACGCTCATTAAAACACCGCAGGCTGAAAGTCTAGTTTGATTTATTGAGCAAATGTTTGATGTCCTCATTCACAAAAGTGACCCAATGATGACTGTTGAATATAGGGCATAGAGGGGAAAGGGGGGGCAGAATTCATAGGTTCCTAGAAATCTATTGATTATGTTCCATCGATAAAGTTGAACTCCTGATGCTTCTTAGTGGTGAGATAATCCAATATAGCGTGAGAGGGAGGGTAATTGACCCCATGTTGATGGAGGAGATGGAAATAGAAGCAAACTATAGGTTGAGCCTCAGGAGGATATCTTCATGAGAAATTAAAGTGGATTTAGGCTTTAATAACCAAAGCAGAAATAATTAAGTCATAATTTCTGCTCAGTTTTTCATTGTGTTTGATCAAAGCATGTTAGTGGGCTCTACATGGTACATTCAAGAAACGCAGTTTACTCTTTAAACAGCAGAGGGCAATGAAAACAATCCTCTGCTTGCATTCATAACTGGGCTACAGGTCATCGCCTTGATGCAGCGCAAAGAGCAGCAAGCCAAGACCTCTGAAATATGATATAACTAGTGTTAAGAAAAACGTTTCTACCAACAGTTTAATACATTTAACTAGCTCCATGTAGAATACGTCATTTATTTTTCAAGTGCATTTTTCTTTATTATTCATTTTTGTAGCCTATTTTTATAAGAAAAGTGTGAAAATAAAACCCAATTTCCCCCTGCTGAACCAAGGAGTGGTTGAACATAACTTATTAACAAACGATTCCACCTATAGCCTGCTACCAATATTGGATACTATGATAAATATTCACATCCAATAAATGTTGAACATTTCCTGCAGATCAAGTTAGATATGTCACCATTAGCGCTGAACCAAGCCAATAAAACAGAGATCATATCAAAAGGAATCAGCCGCATCTCTGAGTCAAAAACGTAAATAAAAGGTCATGGAAAGGACCCTGGATCACAACTGGTCACCCTGATTCTGACAACACCAACAAAGCTTTCTACTATAGAATTCATGGCACGTCGTTATTCTTATTTATTATTATTTATTTTTTGGTTGGTTTTATTTTGATGTATTTATTTTGTTATCTATCTATCTATCTATCTATCTATCTATCTATCTATCTATCTATCTATCTATCTATCTATCTATCTATCTATCTATCTATCTATCTATCTATCTATCTATCTATCTATCTATCTATCTATACATACATACATACATACATACATATATATACATACATATATATATATATATATATATATATATATATATATATATATATATATATATATATATATATATATATATATATATATATATATATATATATATATATATATATATATATATATATATATATAATGTTTCAGGAAAAGATACATAAATTAAATAAGAAGGAACATTTGTTTATGGTAACACAATCCATGTAATTTAAAAAGAGAAAGTCCTTAAATTTACAGAAGATCATTAGTATTATTTTATTATTATAATAACAATTATTATAATAATGATATATCGTTATTATAATTATTATTGTTATTATTATTGATGCTATTAATATGATCGTTATTATTATTATTGCACTGCATTAGTTGACTTAAAGCCAGCCGAGAGGGCAGAGGCCACCTCAGTGCCGGACACAGCGCTGTTATCACCCCTGATCGCCAGGTGCATCAGCTGAAAGGGAGCAGCAGCTCCCAGCAGACAATACACAAAAGAGCCCGTGATGCTCCAAAACAATCATACACACACAAACCCACACACACAGTTAACCCTGTTCGGGCTTCTGTGCACAAAAGATGCCAATACGCCCCCTTCATTTTTTTATTCTTTTTTATTTTGCAATGTCTTGTGTTTTGTTTTGATTTGTATTATTGTATCTCTCCTCTCCTCTTTTTCTTATTTAAATCACAATGCACACACATTTAGTGTTATTTCAGATATTATTATCATCATTATTGCGCTGATAATTATTATTATTATTATTGATTTGATCCATGGGCTGTTATTGGACTGTGAAGAGCGCACTGTAACCAGCTCTAACAGAACTCCAATGGCAGTGAATGGAGGGAGGAAAAAAAAAGTGTAGCCATGCCTGCAGAAGTGGGAGGATCTCTACTCGCTTCAATCTTGATCTCAGACTTTTGCAGCGACGGGGGCACAAGCAGCCAACCGTCTCTGTTGGTTCCAAAGAGTTACTACCGGGACATCTGCATATACGCACTGTGCTATCTCTGGATTTGGTGTCAACTTTTACCCTTCTCTCTTTTTTTCCCCTTTCCTCCTCTTTGGCGAGGCTGTCATTCGGGGAAGTCATTTTGTTGCGGCTCCCTCTATTTTTTTTTTCCACACGTCGGCTTTGGAGGAGAAGATAAAGCTTCCTCGGTCTTCCAATCATAACAGGTGACTGTCCAGAGTTTACCATGTTTGTTTGCTGCTCGTCTTTGACATATCAGGGATCCACGCTTCCGGCTTAGGGTGTTTTATTGACGAGCATCAGAAAAAAAAGTCGCATTTTTCTCCTTTTATCTTTGCGTCTCTTATTTTGCGCGCCGCTCGGAGTTTCCAACAGGTTTCCCAGCTCGCCCACTTATACTAAGCCCCTCCAGACAGCTTTAAGAGGCCGGGATTTCCTTCGTTTTTTCCCTTGTCAGCTCTCACCCATATTCTTATGGATATCGCAACAGGTCTGGTGTCGCTGGAGCGCCTCTCCGCGGGGGAACGGTCCGAGACGCGCATCATGCTGGACGGCATAAAAATCGAAGATCACCCGCTGCGATCGGGACAAGCCACGCTGGGAGTCATGCTCGGTAGGTGTTAGACTCAAGTGCACTCAAGTGAGGATTTTTTTTTATTATTATTTAGAATTTTTTTATTTTCTTTTAGCATTCCTGCATTTTTTTATGTCACAGCAATGCAAAAAACCAAAATGACTCAGTGCAATCAGATGCAGAAAATGATGCATTGAGTCTTTATTTACATTTTACCTGCAGGATTTAGAAGATGTTAATTAAGGCCTTGCTGTTTAGATGATATGTATCTTATTTTTAATGTATTATGCAATGATTTTTCCCAACATTATAGCCAGTGCAGAAATGAATTCAGGCCTTCCCTCTGCTCTTCCAGGCTCCGACTGTCACCACAGATCCGTGTGTGAGGGCTGCCAGCGTCCCATCTCCGACCGCTTCCTGATGAGGGTCAACGACTCCTCATGGCATGAAGAGTGTTTGCAGTGCACCGTGTGTCAACAGCCTCTCACCACCAGCTGTTACTTCAGAGAAAGGAAACTTTACTGCAAACACGACTACCAACAGTAAGCACAATTACTGTCCGACGAGGTGGTGGGAGTTTTTTTGGTTATTTCCCACTTTTTCTTTTATTTTTTTCTCCTTCCTTTATGTTGTTTCTGTGGGTTTGTTGAATAAAATTGCTTTGGTTGCTCTGAAGGCCTTCTGAGGGGCTCACCTCTCAGAAACCCATTTTAGAGGGAAGAATTATTAGAAAATGTTTCCAATAATAATAGAAATAAATATGATTTGTGCAGATCGTTTTTATTTAAATGATAAAATATTGATTTTATTATTAGGGAAAAAAAAAAATAAAGAAATACATTTTGATTAAATTCTACGACCGACAGAACGGTGATGGTTCATCTGGATTACTGTTAAAGTAACCCACGGTGTTTCCACGCCAGCCTCTGCACCCACTGCCTGTGAAGATGCATTCTGATCCCGCTTCACACCCGAGAATCTGGAGGCGGAAAGAGTCGCTTTTTCTTCCGCTCCTTGACGCTGTTTTCGAATTGAATCATGGGTCGTTTCCCCGTCAACCTCATAAATCGTTTTGAAAATTGACAATAAATCATAGTTAAAAAAAAACATTTTTTTTTTTAAAAACAGCGCGCCTGGATTTATTCTCCCTAAAGTTATTTTTTTCTTTATATAAGTTAAAGGCGATAAGCCTTAATATTAAAATCTATGACATATCCTATTACCTTTATTTGATGTATACGATCCGCTATTTTTTTATTCATTATATATATTTAGTTATTTTATTTTTTCTGAAATTAATTTTAATGCATTCTTTTTTTTTTGCCTTTTTTCCCCTAACGAATAGCGTACGAAATGCGCCTTGAATTATTTCGTCTCTTTCATTACGTGAGATTTAAAGCCACCTGTGCCAATTCAAATTTGCGCAATTTGCGTATATCCGAATAACGCTCAAAAATACGCAAACGTAAATATTTTAAAAGCATGGCATAAATAAATAAATGTATTATAAAAGTGTATTATTCATATTATTATTGTTACATTTATTAGACTAATCAATAACTTAATTTTTTATTATTTAAATTTATTTGAAGTAAGACCATTATTTTCAGATTTGTTAATAGCAATATAAAAATAATACTAAAAAGGTTGACTTCCTGTTGCTTTTTCTTATTTTTTTTTTCCCACTTTGATCATGGTACCATCAATTTAAGGCCCATCACAGCATCTGGGATTGGGCTAAACAGATTTTTTTACTCTCTCTCAAAAAATAAATAAATAAAATAAAATGAAAAAATGTCATATTTTGTCACAGGACAGACTAATTCAATAGAAATATTAAAATATCTCACTGAGTGAAAGAAGTGTAGCAGCAGCATTACAGGGCCGCTCCTTGGCCTGTGAAGACCCTGGGGTGCTCCCGTGTTTCTCATTGCATGACTGCTTTTCATGCTTGTCACTGAATTTTCAGCTTTTTGTGTCCGGCTCTTTTAAGCAATTCTCCTTCGATTACCGGGACATTATGGCTCTCTGCTAGACACCTTGCAAAGTGACAAAGAGTTACATCTATTGCCATGCTTGCTATTCACCCAGCTTCAAGACAGCAGTGTAGTCAGCCGGTAACAATGGAAAATTCATAGCAGTAACCAGGGGAAACCAGAATCATGGCGTCACGG